CATTAAATTATGTCCTGAAAATGTTAAAGTTAATAAACTTTTTGTTTGGCAAGCGATGTTGTAACTATTTCTATTGATTGATAACTATACAATTGCTTGCATAAGGCATTATTATGCAATTATTATTTGTAGCATTTTTATCTAATTATTTCTATTAACTGCATATGCTTGAATGTTTTGGTCATAATTGTATAAAATTGTGAAGATACAATAGATATATGATACAATAGATATTATGTTTCATAAAATTAAAACCAAAAAGTATAACAAATTACAAAAATAAATAATGCTAAAATTAAAATAAACTTAAATATGTATAGTAAAATATGCATAGTTGCATATGTAAAGATCTTTTGATAAAAATATCAATACCTAAAATATGCTTTTTCCAGTGCTTTTTGTTAGAGGTGTAACGAATAATCTATCCATTTGGATATCCGGGCTGGATAGAAGTATTATTTGGTATCCGATATCTAGCCAGATTATAACTTTATACAGTTTTTTAAATACCAAATATTTCATGTTCATGTCATTTAAAAATTGAAAGAAATCTTGAAATGATATATATTTTTAAATAATCTAATGTTAATGGTTTCGATAAAATATTGTTATTATTATTATTAAAATACTACTAAAATTATATGTGCACAACAAATACATCAGTTTATCACTTATTTATATTTCTTTTATCTCAACGTGGAGTTCATCAAGTTAACATTTCTTCACGTTGAGGTAGCCTTAATTACTTTTTCTCATAAATAATAAGAAAAATTTTGCTAAAATAAATAATAATTCTTTTAGCTTTTGAAACTTCTCCTCTTGTTTGCAATAATTTAAAACGTCATTATATTTTTCTATAATTGAGTTATTAAAAAGAACATCAACTCCTTGAGCAGCTTTTAAAAAAGAGACTTGATCAGAATTCAATATATTTTTAACTTTCTTAAGCAACTAAAGAAGATTCAATAATAAAATTTTTTTCTTATTCATACAATTCAAAATGAAATTGTGTGATTATGCAGTGGAGTTGTGGAAAATGATTTCTGACCAGATTTATTATGTCCCTTGCTTATCTGCTTTACACATGGAATGCAAATTGCTCTGGAATCACAGCTATCACTAATTTTAGAAAACCTCCAAACAAAATTCGCCATTTTGAAGGTTTATCACGGTAATATTTTTTCATTAAAATAATTTTTTTTTTTTTTTAATTCTGATTTACTCCCAACAAGGTTGCAAGCAACCACTATTAATTTAGGAGTTACCAGAAAAAAAGAATTATAGAGCTTAAATTAAAGAGTTATAGAGTTATATATAATTATAAATATAAAATATATATTTATATATAAAATAGTATATAAATATAAGCATATAAATGTAAAATAAAAAATATAAAAAAATTATAAATATAATTAAAAATATAAAGAGTTATATATAAGTAAAGAGTTATAGAGCAAGGAAAGGTTGACAGAAGATTTAAAAATTTAAAGGTTGTATGAGTCAGGAAAACATAAAGATGGGAGTGAGTTCCAAAGGGTTGAAGTGTGGGGGAAAAAGCTAGACGAATAAAAGTTTTTGGAGCATGTAGGGACAAATACAGTAAAAGAATTAGACTTTGATAAATGACGAGTCAAGGAGAATGAGTTTTAGTTGATGGAACTAGAGATAAAAGCTCGTTCGAGAAGCGGCCATGATAATATTTGTAGAAAACAGAAAGAGTTGCAACTTTATGACAATGGGAAAGAGGCTTCAGCTTACCAGATAGACCTGGTCCAGTAGTAAATGGTCAGTAGTAAATGATAACCCAAGAAGATGTAAAGAAGAGGACTCAGTGAGAGGGGTGCCATTCATCAATATAGGAATGTCAACAGTACTGCAATATTTGTTTGCAGTAAATAACTGAGTTTTGTTAATGTTAAAATTTACAAGCCACTGTGAGTCCCAATCAGTTACAGAAGTGAGATCAGATTCAAGATTGGAAACTTGTTCTAAGCAATCCAAAAGAGAAGACTTTTTGTCAAGACAAGAGCATTAAGTTGAGTCATCAGCAAGGTTGTCGGAAGATCATTAATGTAGATAACAAACAAAATAGGACCAAGGATAGAACCTTGAGGTACCCCAGAAGTTACTGGAAATAAAGAAGAGTGTTGGCCTTCGAGGACGACTTTAATAAACAATCTGATAATCTCAAAAACTATCCAAGATACACCATGTGAAACAAGCTTATGAAGAAAACCAGCATGCCAAACTTTGTGGAAAGCCTTATATATGTCAAGAGTAATAGTGATAGCCTCTCCACCTCCATCTAATTTATGATAAAATCTTTCAGTCAGAGCAGTTAGCAAGTCAACTGTAGAGCGAGAGGATCGAAAACCGTATTGATTGTCTGATAGCAAGTTATTTGACTCAAGATGGGATGTGAGACATTCCTTTATCAAAGACTCAAAGACCTAGCTAATACCAGAAAGAAGACTGATTGGACAATAATTGCAGAGGTCAGAATAATCATCAGAGTTTTTGAAAACTGGAACAACAGATGCTATTTTCCAGCAGGCAGGAAAATAAGATTCAGCGAACCTTACTACCAACTGGTAGTAAGGTTTCCTGAACCACAGAGTTCAGGAAACCTTACTACCTGCTGGCCTCAGAGCGGGATTTTTTTTCTAGTTGATAATATCAGACATGATATTATCAACTAGGAAAAAAAAAATACTAAATAGCTAATATATTTTCTTTAAATGAAACATGAGTCATAAACAACCATTAAAATAAGATTTTGTTTAATACCTTGTCTCAACACTAAGCAATTAAAAAAAGACCTTGTCACTAAGAAATTAAAATAAGATTTTGTCTTGTCACTAAACTAAGATATTATCAAATTAGCTTTTAAACCAATTTGTAAGCTACATTATCAGCGAAAATATAATTTAAATAACTCAAAAAAAATACAAAGCTAACAAATCAAAAAAAAAAAACCAAAAACCAATGCAGATCAAATAAAAAGTAAGCATGTCAAACAGAAAGCGGATAAAAAGTCAAAATAAGAACAAAAACAAAATCAATAAAAAAAAAAAAAAAGATAAAAAGCATGCTTGGATGGGAAGCGGGTGCGATCGCACTCGATAACTGACCACGGAAATAATATTAAGTTGCAAAAAACCGGCCAGATTTTTTAGTTGTTTTGAGAACATTTAAGTTTAAGTATGTTTCCTTGTTTTTTCGCAAAATAATAAGTTCATTTTGTCGTAAATTTTAAAATATTTTGTTTTACGGACTTACATAGAAACATACATAAACTTGAATGTTCTCAAACATCTTAGTGCGGAAAAATAAAAAAAGAATATTCGCAAACACAAAAAACCCGCCAAATCTACGAACAACTAATTCTATTGCTTCAAAAAATACTAACTGAAATTTCTAGAGCATTCAAAAAAAACTAACCGAATGTCCTGAGTATTCTGTTAAAATATTTAAAAAAACTGTATTATTTGAATTTTGTTACGTTTTTGTTGAGATTTCTAGCATAAATTATTTTAAGAGTATACTATCAAACGAACTATAATTTTAATTCTTGGAGCCACATATACAAAGCTATAAATGATTTAAATTAATATTATTTGTTTACAATAATAAATGTTTTAAATTTGTATTTTTTAACTTGTCAACGTTTTGTAAATATATTTTAGATCTTATTATTATATTCTTATTTTTTATATATAAAAGATGTATTTTTTATCTATGTAATGTATTTTTATCTATGTAATTTTATCTATATGTATTTTATTTAAATATAATCTTTTAAATCAATTTGTGCTAATGATTTTGTAAACAAAAATACTTTTAATAATAACTGCATTTTCAATGAAATTATTAATAATCATCAAAGTTTATACAAATAATTTTAACCACTAACCCATTTTCCTCAGTGTACCCGATAACTGATTCTTTCTCCCAAAAAAGAAAAGTTTTTAAGTTCTTAGAAATTGGTTTATTAACTTCAATTATTTTTGCTTCAGCCATTCTTAAAAACTTGTTATACTTAAAGTTACTTTTTTCTGTTTTAAATTCTAATTAAAATTATGAAGCCCACTCATTAAACATCATCAGCGGTATTGTGAAGCAGTTCCGCTTTCTCCTCACAAAGTAATTTAACGTTTTTTGTTAATTTCTATCTAGCTAATTGAATTTCTACAGTAACTCAATGATTTATTTATTTCATTTGTTTATCTTATTAAAAAGAATTGTTTCAAATGTGTTAAACTTTTTAAACTACGCGAAGCATAAAACAGTTATTGAAAAAACTTTTTTTATTTATAAATAAATCATCTGGTTGAATTTTGTTGGATTTTTCAGGACCGGGGGTTGCATTATTTTCGCAGCGTTTTTTATGTGCCACAGCGTAAAAATGACTTAAAAAAATACCAAATGGTCCTCTTGACTATTTTCCCTAACATTGTGAGTCCCGGGGCTATAGCCCTACTACCCCCACCCCACCTCCTCAATCCAGCACTGGAAATAAGACATAAGTATATAAATAAAAATTATATATACTCTTTGATAAATTGAAGAACATTTGTTTCTTTATAGTTCTTACTTTATATAAAAAATGTCGCTTTATTTTATAAAAAAAAGTTATAAAAGAGCGACGTTTCAAAAATAATTGCTCTTCGCGTTTTTTGGCATTAAAAGCTATTTTTCTTTTTTTAACTGTCTCTTGTTGGTCCAGTTAATCTTATTGCGCTTTTTTGTTTGTTTTTGAAATGTTCTCAAAATAACTAAAAAATCTGGCCGGTTTTTCGCAACTAAATAATATTTCCGTGGTCAATTATCGAGTGCGATCACACCGAAGTAAACACAAAGAAGATAAAAAGTCAAAAATAAATAATAAATAATAATAATAGATAAAAAGTAAGCAAAATATACAATTGAATGCAATAATCCTAAAATGTATATATATGAAAATAAAATCAAAATAAAGAGAAAACACATAAAAAACATACTTTCCCCTTGACCTCTATAAACAGCCAACATTCCTGTACTTTCTAAACTTTCCTGAACAATACTGGAGGGAAGATTTGTTGTTACAATGACGCTCTGCTTGTCTAGATCCACTTCAAAAGATTTGATTCCTGAAAATAAAAAATGTAAATAACTAAAATAAAGAGTTACAGTACAAATTTTTTTACACTTAAAAAAACTGGGAAAAGAAGGAAGAAAATAGAAGAAGATGGGGGTGATCAAATACAATTGTTTAAATGTTTTCAAGGATATGATGTTATAAAGTTAACTGACCAAAAATGCTCAACAATAGGCATAAAGTTACTTGCAAAAAATACAACACTTAGGGACAACAATGTAAGAAAAATACAAACACTTAGGGACAACAATGTAAGATGAACTTGATGTACAAACCAATATTAAGGAGCTGCATATTACATTGTCAGATTTTAACATCAAAACTGAATCATTCATTTTATGAAATGAAAGCGCAAGTCACAGTTTATTATTTTGATTTAATTCCTTATATTTTTAAAGAAAGAGGTTTGAATTCTTATTTCACTGTTGTTGATTTTAAAAGTCTACACAATTTGTAAATGTTTTTGATTCATTATGCAAGCATACAACTTTAGGTTATTTAGTTAAATCTAGGTTATTATGGTGTAAAAAAATTGGTTTTGGTTTCAATTAAATAGTTTTGATTTGGTAAAACCTTAACAAACTTCCAAAACCACTAGCTAATCTAAAATATTCACTATTCGTTTTAAATGTGTCTTTTTCAAGCAACCATGGCAATAAATATGCCTTTTTCTAGAGAAATGTACTCTAGAAAATGGAGAAAAAAGAGCTTTAGGTTTAAATGATATTAAATACAAAAAGTTGGATGTAGATAAATGCAATAACAATAATATAAAAATAAGTCTCCCTAAAACCTTAACTTTCTGCCAGATTTTTACACATTTTTATTTGTACTATTTCTATGTTTATAAAAGTAAAAATGAAATCAAGACACAGAGTAGTCTCTATGTCTCAATTTCAATTTAATTGAAGCCACACATTAATATGTCTAGAGGTAAAGATGGTAAAAAAGACTTTTAGATAAGTTAAAAATAAAATATTTTTAGATAAGTCTAAAAGTTATTATTTTAAGTGTGGCCTCTGTGCTATCAAAAATAATATTTCCGCAACCTGTAGTTAGTTATTTTAAAAAGTTTTTACAATTTAAAAGAAAAAATTTAAGTTGATGATCTTTTTTCAAACTTTCAAAAATCTGCAGCTTTTTCACCTAGAAAACTTCAATGTAAAAGATATTAGGGATCCGATTTAAAAATCGTTAACAAACCAATCAATTCATCAACTATTATTCTTGCTATTATACAAACGTATAATAGCAAGAGCTGGAATAAGAAAAACAGTAACCAAAAATAATAATAATAATAATCACAAAAAAAAGAAACTTGCCTCCAGTAATTTAAAAGATGCTCTTGTGAAAAAATCTTGGTGAATTAAATATATATAATGCAAAGCCATGACGTAAAAAATAAATTAAAAAAAAATCAAACTAATCAAGTTAGAGAACCAAATAAACAAATACTCAAAAAAAAATTAAACGCTCTGATAAAAGTTTGCCCAAAAGTAATAAAGTAACTAACAATGACAATGAATTTTATAGATTTGATAGATTTAACAAATAAATCGTTTTATTTCTTTAATGAATAATTTGCAAAAATATAATAAAATATACATATCTAAAGTTAATCATAAGTTTATCAAAATTTTACTTTTTTAGCTGTTTTAAATATTTTATTTTAGTGTTGGTTCTACCAATAGTGTACAAAAATAACTAGATAGTAACAAACCTGTTGTTGTATAAATATAAATGTTGATTATTAAAGTACACCATGAAGGGGTAGCCATAAAATAATTTGAGGGACTTTTCTAAAGTAATCTTTTAAAAAAAGAAAATTCTGTGAAAAAGTTTCAATGTTACAATATTACAAGTAGATTTTATAGTTAAACATTACATCAAATTATTTTTTTCAAATTTAAAATCCATTATGGTGCACCTGAAATAAATATTTTTGTATACATTAAAAATAAAGCTAACAGATATAAAAAAAAACCTTGCAGCTGATCGAGAGAACTTGATACTTTGTCTACACAAGAAGAATCTGTCATATTCACAGAAAACTCCATCTAAAATTTTATTTTGTATAAACATGAACTGTTATATAAATTGTCTTTAACATACAAAATTTATTTATAATAGTTTAACTTTTAAAACAAAAAATTTAAAACATTAAAAATCAGTAATAAATAGAATTTACCTTATCAAATAAATTTTCCATTCTTGGTCAGATTAGTTTTAATATAGTACTACAAACTATATAATTAAAAATAGTTCCTTAATTAACTAAACCAAAAACTATATATATATATATATATGTATATATATTATATATATATATATATATATATATATATATATATAACAAAAACTATATATATATATATATATATATGTATATATATATATATATATATATATATATGTATATATATATATATATATATATATATATATATATATATATATACATATATATATATATATGTATATATATATATATATATATATATATATATATATATACATATATATATATACACATATATATATATATATATATATATATAAATATACATATATATATATATACATATATATATATATATATATATATATATATATATATATATATATATATATATATATATATATATATATATATATATATATATATATATATATATATATATATATACACACACTTACTAAAGCGTGTTTTGATAAGCATTTGCTCACTTTTTCTGCTTACCTTAACCTATACCGTTTTTTTTGAAAAAGAATAAAAAACGATGAATGATGAATGAAGCAATTCCTTCCCCATCCCAAACCCTCAGTCGATGTAGCAGCACTCCACTGCGAATCAGGCTATTTGTCAGTCGATGTATGTACTGAAGCCCCCAGCAGCAGGCTATTTCAGTATGACGTCAGATTGCTTACATTAGTACGCAATACTATTTGTATATATATATTTATTCTTGATAAGCCTTCAATTAGTTAGATATCACATGAGATAATCCTTAATAGTTTGACAAGAAACAAATTATTATTTTTTTATGTTTTAACTTAGCATATGGCTGTTTATAAAGAAGCCCATTTTAGCTCATTTTTAACAAAACCATTAATTTGACAGATCACATTTATTTATAGAGACATGCAAGCAGGTAAGAACTAAATGAAGTTTAGATTTAATCTATTGAAAAAGATCAACTTTTTTTGGATAGGATTCTGGACTAATGCAACTAGTTGCTTCCAGATAAAAAGATGGATTTAAATTCCTTTCAAATATTTTGTATATGAAGCAGGAATGATAACAAGTTGAAAATCTTTCATCATTCTATTGATTACATCTTTTTTATATATGTTAGTTGACCTCCCTAAGGCTGAAGGTTACTAGAGTGGAGGAGGCTACTTTATTAATGCTTACAACTATCTCTTAACTCTGTAACTGCAAAACACTAACCTTGACAAACAAGGCAGCTGCGCAGAGAAACAAGTTGAGCGCAATATTACTAGGGAATGGTGGGGATCAAACTCGGAACTTCCTGCTTATGAGGCGAGCACTCTACCACCATACCACTACCACATTCTAGAGATAACACATACATTCTAGAGATAACACATACATCCTCTTTAATTCTATGTTACATTCTACATTAAATCCTATTGCAATTGAATCTAACAGTAAAAAATGTCTCTTTTTTAGTGAAACCAAATTGCAGAAGTTGCCTCCAATTGATAGCGCTACTTTAAACATCATGTTTGATTATTAAACATATTAAACTTTTAACTGTAAAAAAACAATTCTTTATAGAGAAATGGAATCATCAGGGCATATGTCTGATATTTCACTAAAAGTTTCTACAATAAACTAGCAATGTAACTAAAAAAGTTCAATTTAATGAAAGTTAATTTATCTTTAGTTCTCTCATAACTTGTGCATTTTGACTGCTTACTTTTAAAACGAGTTTCCAAATACTTTGCAATTTTTAAAGTATTTGTTTAAACTTTACATAATTTCATTAAAACCTTTTCACATTTAGTGACAGCTACACAATCAGCTCTTCTGGCATAAGAATCGTGGCAACCACATGCAGACTTTCATCAAACAAAACAGTAAAAGAAGATTTCTTGATATTTTTCGTTAAAAGTGTAAATAAGGCTTAAGACTAATATAACTAAGTTTTGTTCTACCTATTTCATAGGATTTAGTAGCTGTGCTATCAGGGAATGTTTTTGATATAGTAGATCATTTTCATTACATGAGTTCAATGAGAAAAAGTTTTGAACTGCATGCAAAACAGGATAGATTTCTGCACAAATTTTATCAGATTAATCTACTTAAAGAATTGCATGCTTTTTGGATGCAGACTGTGTAGACTTGTAAAGTAAAAAGATACTGGTTTTGAACATATTTTTTTCCCTCCAAATGACTTTTAACAGCTCTTTGACCCATACTTGATAAGTTAAATTGAATTCAGCAAGTTTTGGATTTGGCTGACTTTTATCTAATCAGCCAATAATCAGTCATTTTTCAAACAATAGATAACGCAACTATTCTTCATCAAATTAAGTTACCATTTAAAATTTAAGTTTCTATTTATTCTAAAAAAGATAATGAAAGAACAATATAAATCAAATAAATTTTGAAAATCTTAACATATTGCAGCTATCCCTACACAAAAAAGTACCTAAAAAAATTTATTCAAATTATTGTTTACAATCAAAACTATATAAAATATTTCGCATAAATTTTTTGTTTGGTTTATATTGTAAACAAATGAGTAGAATAAAGGTTAATTTTTTTAAATAATGATCAAATATTAATTTGATCAATCTTTTGAGCTATATGTAATTAGTAACTTAAAAAAAGGAATATTAATTATTGTTAAAATTTTAAAACAACAAAACATTAAAGTAGTATATATATATATATATATATATATATATATATATATATATATATATATATATATATATATATATATATATATATATATACATATATGTATATGTATATGTGTATATATATATATATATATATATATATATATACATATATGTATATATATATATATATATTTTATATATATATATATATATATATATATATATATATATATATATATATATATATATATATATATATATATATATATATATATATAATCTTAAAAGGAAACCACATCTATCCATTTTCAATAAAGTATAATATCAACTATAAACATACTTCACTAAAATTTGTTAATGTTACAATCTAAAAATAATTTAATGTTTTCCAAAGTAAGAAATTCTGGTGTCTTTACTTTTTCCATTTATAAAATCTTTTGCTATAGTATTTACATCTATTTCCGCTGTTGAATTTATAAAATTGAAGACGTAGAAGATGATTCAATCGCTTCTGAGTTGAGGTCGACCGACTATATGACTTTATCATTCTTAGATGAGAGAAAGATCTCTCGGCTGTGTAGGTTGTCAATGGTATCGCTAAATAAATTTTTAAAGTTTTGATATTTCAAAAAACATTAATGAGACTCCTTTACAGTCATTTAACATATTAATTATAGTTATGATTGAAGTTACCTGTTTAATGTTCATTTTATAAGTAATGTTATAAGTTTCCTTAATGGATTTAAATAGAAATAGTTCAGCTTTTATTGTTTCATAAACTATATAATTTTTATAGAAAACATTTATATTATCAAGCTTTTATGTCCGTATCACCATTTGCAGTGGACAATAAAAACCTTCCTAAAGCAATTATTGATTCCATTGAATTTCCTGGGAATCGCTGATTTAATAGACTTTTTATAACATCAAGTACCTCATAATACTGAGCTCAGTAATATTCCATTGTGTCCCATTTGTGAATGTTCAAAGTATTATCATCAAAGCGAGGAGTTGAACGTCAGCAGACAAAAAAGGAATAGGTGAATTGCAACCAAATTTCTTAATTTCTTCAATAATACAAGATTCAAAAAATGATTTAAAACGGGTTTCTGATCTCATAGACAATATATGAATTTTTAATAACATTATTGATGAAGCAATTGTTTGAGCATCTACTTCAGCAGATTGTATATGTTGAGAGACTTGCTCTACAGTTGGAAACACATCATAAGCCAGGCGAAACCCAAAATATAATTGAAATGATAATAATTTATTAAGTTAATCTTCTGCTTTAGCTCTTTTAGGATCATTTGATTAAGAAATTTCTAGAAGCTCTAAAAAAATTACTTGAAAATTTGTCAGAACTGAACCATATGATTTGGTCCTCGCAGTAAAATGAGGTGGACAAGGAGCACTTAAATTGATTTGCTTGACATCCTCGTCAAGTATATCGCATTGTAATTTTTTAAACCTTACCAGTCTCTTTGGAGCTAAACAAATGAAATTATGTAACAGCTGGCACAATTCCTGTCCCTCATTCATACAACTGGCTTGTTTACAAGCATCTTGAAGAACAAAGTTGAGCCGATGTGCATAACAATGTATAAAAATTGCTTCATTGACATCATCTTGAAATAGTTTAGCAACACCACTTAGATGCCCTGACATTGAAGTGGCACCATTGTAACTTTGCCCCTGTACTATTTTCTTGTCTAATCCACATCTTAATAAAACATCACATATTGTATAAAAAAGTAACTTACTGTCGATAGCATCAACTGAAGAGACCAAGAAAATCTTTGTATATTGTAAAATTTTCAGAAACTGATCGAACACATATAGGCATTTACTCAATACCAAAAATGTCTTGAGTTTCATCGCACATTACAGAAAAAAAATTCTTGAATTAATAGCACGAAGTACATTTCTTAGCACATAATTTGCCATTAGTTCTATCATCTTGTTAAAAATATCATGAGACATATACTTATTGTTTGACAGCCCGTTCAATAGAGGTTCATAATCTTCACTCCTCATTAAAAGTAACTGATTAAGATTGCTTTCAATTTCATCATTTCGTTGAATAGCTAAACCTTGTTGAGTAACACATTTTAATGTACAGAGTACACAAATTAAGCACTCGTAATGCTCATCAATTCCTTATCATGCATTTACTTCTCATTTGATGTATGGTTTTTAAACCTGCTGCACGTAGTGTAAATAATTTTTCCTGCGCCTCCTTATGAAATGATGATAGGTCAGGCTTTCTCAGTCTTTTTACAGCCTTTTTCCAATTGTCATAACCAATTGTCAAAAAATTTTGTTCTCCGCATTTCGAAAAAAATAGCAGATTTTTCTTAACAGCACCAATGCAAATATAGCAAAATACTTTCTTTTTAAAATGACACAGATGAATCC